TTAACATACGCGCCCTAGCACCTCACTTCCTGAAAATTGCTGAAATACACACCGTGTCTATTCAGAGACAAGGAAAGAAAGTGAGAGAAGCAGTTTGTGCCTTTCTAGTCAGTCAGTCAGTCAGTTAGTCACTTAGTACTTGTGTCTGGAAAAACGCTGCTTTCATATGAAGTATACAGAGCTGGGAAGGCATCAAGGCACAACCAAATCCAATATTAACAATCTTGTCTTCCAAGAGCAAAATTACCTTGTACCGAATATGGGCTAAAGTCCATGATCACCCTGTTGCAATCAAATTTCAACTTTGGTAGGCAGCACAAAGACTTTCTAGACGTACTGAATGCTTGTGTTTATGCTCTCTTGCGGAAGTGAATGACCCCATTTGAAAAGAGATCGTAAGACTATATTATCAGATATTTCCTTCATAGTTTTCTCACTTTTATCTCTCTCTATTCTACATGCTGACTTGTCTTGGCATCAAAAGTACAGTAATCTGCCTACTATTTCGTGTTATTTACAACAACAAAAAAATGTTTTTTAAAAAAAAAAGGAATTCTCATCTTTTAATGTAAAATTTGTATAAAGCGTACAGAAAAATGAAATGTGCTGTTGTGAAGTTAACATGAAAAGGATTTATTACCCAAAAAACAAACATTTCTATAATCAGTTACTCACTCTCATGTCCTTCCAAACCTATTTGACTTTCTTTCTTTTGTGAAACACAAAATGGGAAAGTGTGAATAATATACCACTTGCTCTTTTCATGAAGTTACAATGTCTGGTGCAGCTTTTAAAGCCTTACAAATTATGCAAAAATGACATGAAAATTTCATAGATATTTTGAAGAACGATTGGAACTTCAGCACCATTGACTTTATTTTTTCTGCTATGAAAGTCAATGGTGCTGAACAACTGTTTGGCTCCCATTGTTCTTCAAAATATCTTCCTTTGTGTTCAGCAGAAGAAAGAAAGTCATACAGGTTTGCAACAACTTGAGGGTGAGTAAATGATGACAAAATGTTCATTTTTGGGTGGAGTATCCCTGTAAGGCAGTTTATCTTGTAACTGTGACTGCAGACACTGTTTACTGCAACAAACCTCTAGAGCTGTTTTTAAACCTAGCATTCTGTGTCAATTCACATGTGTGGGTTAGTCTGAAGGACTCAAATGGACATGTTGAGGCTCAGTCAACCAGATGACTTGTCACTCAGTGTGCAGTTCCATCTGCTCCAGTCTCAGTCCGGCTCCTGCTCTCAGTAGCTGTGCTGGAGACGGCAGCTCAGACATGGGGAAGCTGCAGGCTGCAGGCTCTGTGAGGTGATAACAAGGTGGTAACAAGGTGTAAGGTTTGTGAGGGTCCACTCCAGCACTGGGTTGTGAGGTGACACCTCGCATCATTTTTAATCAAAAATTGTGGCATAAACTAGAGAGTGCACATATTTTGTTTTCCAGATTCTGACACTTGTGGGGGTTGAAGGTGTCATTGAGCTGGGTTTATTAAGGGCTACGGTCCACATCCACAGCTAAATGTGCAATGTCTGGGGGAAGTGCCACTGGGGAATGAGCAATGTCATCTCTAATTGTGGTTACTCCTGAGTAGGGGTGCAACGGTACAGATAGCCCACGGTACGGTCCGTACCTCGGTTTTTGGGCCACGGTCTCGGTTCGGTTTCGGTACATGTTTTGTGCAGAAAGAGACTGCTATTTCATCCCAAAAATATGTTTTATTTTTCTTATGAGCATAAACAGAATGTCACAGTAGGAAGAACATCAATGTGTATGGAACAAATTAACACTCTAGTCTAGTCTGTACTGGACAACACTAAGCAATACAACCTCTTCAACTACCACTTATGATATACAAAATGTAAACGAGCACACTTTAAAATATTCAAGTGGATCCCAATTCCAAACCTTGATAACTGTTAAATGAAGTGATCAATGTGAAAGAAAAAGTGCACTTTTACCTTTAACATAAATTAGCTTGTGGTTTGAATAAATAGAGCAGAGCAAAATAATATAATAAAAAAAAAAACTGCATTCAGGATACAAAGTGCAATGTTATTTACTCATCCACTTTTGAGAGATTCTTGTGCAAAAATATACTGCAGTCAAACATTTGACTGGGTTTGCGTTATGCATCCACTATGTGCTGGGAATGTAGAGAGTAGGCTACGTGGAGCCGGAGGTGAGGCGTTTATTTAGTAAGCGTGAGCGCGCTGGGGTGGGCACTTAACTTACATTCGCAGCCTGACTCATATATGAGTATTCAATGTGCGGCGGCTCACTAACAACAGTTGGCTGTTTTGAATAAAACGACCCGTGTGAACGGGGAGCGCTTTATGAACATCTATGACGCGCGAGCAGCACCGGTCTGTTCGTGTGTCCGTTAAGAGTGAGCGCTCGTGAGCGACACACACATAACATGATTTACGAGGTTGAGGTTGTGACAAGCGGGCATAAGCTGGACACGAGCGCGAGTTCGCGGGCGAATTTAATAACGCGGAGCGTTGTTAACTAATTTATCCATATATAGTAAGGCGCTCCGGAATATAAGGCACACTGTCGTTTTTTGAGAATATTAAATGCTTTTAAGTGCGCCTTTTATAGTGCGGAAAATACGGTTAAAGGATCAGCACGAACTCTATGGCAGAACCGAAGTCCCGCGGGACACGAGGTTAGATTGTCCCGTGCAGGGCAGACCGAACGGTCCGGGATTTTACCGTGTACCGTTGCATCCCTACTCCTGAGCAAAATCTCCTTCGGCCAGAGCAGAAATATGTACCATGTACCAATATTTACCAAAAAAAAAGAAGTCTAGATTAAAGGCACACTATGCAGGAATTCTGTTTTTGTCAAACAGTGACCCCTAGAGTCGCTTTAGAGTACTTGTATTTAAAGGTGCAATACCTAAGATTCAGATGCCGCTAGAGGGCGCTACATTCAAAACAACAACAACGGCTTTGCTTGATGACGACGTGGAGGAACGCGGAATGATGGGAACTGTTGTTTTCATCTCCACCGTGGCTAAATCAGTCAGACGGGAATCGAAAATTGTTGTCATGGATGAGGTAAAGTTTGATTTCTATAAATCTTGCCTTTAATGACATGCTTGTTTTTCCATTCAACTGAAATAACCGCAAGAAAAGTAAGGTTTAAAAGTAAATTAGTTATCAACGATGTTACTGTATTTTTCTTGAATTGTGATAAAGCTGGGCATTTTACCATACATTCGCACATACCCACATCATTTGCCAAAGGACTGATCAATCTTTATGTAGAACATCGTATGTATTTACATGGCCATAAACACCAGACGCGATAAATAATGTTATTAATAAAGTAAACATAAATCTAACGCAAGAATACTTTTCTTACATACACATAACTATTATCATATGCTACATTTTTAATATAAAAAATTAAGCATAGTGAATCACCACTTCTATGTGATTTTGGATTATGCATTATACATAACTATCTAAAATTAAAAACATTAGATACATTTTACATTTTTTATGCATATGTATTGATAGCTGTCATGTCTTATCTGTTTGTAGCATATAATAACTTATATTTTTGTATTTATGTTGCAGGAAGACACAGATAGATCCTCATTAGAAGTATCCATGTCAAATACTGTTGAGAACTGGAGTCCTCCACAGAGCAGCTGCAATGAAGCATCACATGGAAGAGCAAGAGGTGTGGACAGAGGAAAAAGAAAAGGGATGGGAAGAGCAAAAGGGATGGGAAGAGCTTCCAGAGTAGAAGAAAGCACTGGAGCTGTTGATCCCAGCAATGTAACAAGAGGAAGAGCAGCAAGTAGACGCAGAAGGTCTACAGGGAGAAGACAGGCATCAAGAGGGATAGGAAACACTGCATCATCTGGACTGTGTGAAGAGGACAGATTGAGGGTGTCTAGGCTGCAAGAGGACAGGATTCTGATGACACAAGTGAGTATGGACACACTTAAAATATCCAAAATAGTTTCAACGTTTGGCATCAACTTTTGTAATGTGTAATTTCAGAATCTTATTGGAAATATGAACTTGGCTGAAGCTCAAGGTCTCCTGCTTAGAGTCATGAATAGAGAACCAGGCCTCATCTTTGATGCACTACAACCAGCTGATCATCAAGAGGAACAACAATTACAGGATGTACCTCGATGGTGTTCTTGTACAAGATGCATTGAAATGCCATCTGATGTTGAAAAGAAATGTTGTGGCATGACAGAGAGCACATGTGTGAGCATGTTGCCCCATATGTCGTTATACATATTAGATGAGCAGGTATTGCGTTTGTCACGTCGTTTAAGAAACGACATTTATGCCATTCATGACACACAGGAACCTGGGGATGATAACCGTGAATACCGCTATGCTGCCTACAGGAATTTTGTCTTGTGGCAATGTGGTTCACTCGGTGCAGGAAACCGCGTTGTCATCCCTAGCTGCTGTGTGCGCAGAGTACGTGAGAAATTCCCTGACCCAAATGCACAGTACACTGGATTCATCGCTGCTGTGTTGTAGATGCATGCTGCTTAGTCAAGTTCTCCTTTAAACCTTTTTTTTTGTTTATAAGGAATTTATTTTTATTTATAGTTGATATTTCAAATTATTTATTCAATGTTACATTACAATTTCTACTTTTATGTTGTATTACCTGTTCGGTAAAAAATATTTTTGACACTCTGCAGTTTAAAATGTCTGAATAACAATTGTAAATTATATGTTATTATATGCTGCCTTCTTATAAGAGCCTATTTATGGAGTGGTAATGTAAATAAAAATACTGTTTTTGTATTTTTGTAAGATTTATTTTAAAGAAAATAAAATAAATCAAAAAGTGTGAAATGATTCACAATTTATTTACATGTTTGATAAATTCTCAAAGGTCTAATAGTTACAAACTATTATATGTATATGCGTCAAGTTTCAGGTTAAAATTAAAATTAAACAAAAATTGTTTGGCTGCCTCATTTGAAGGTAAACATCTGAACCTTAGGTTTGTTCAGATTTCTGAGGTTTTAGCTCATTGTTCGTCTCTTGAACCTGGTGGAGTAGAGCTTGCTCCTTTTGCTCCTAAAAAAAAAAACAATAAAAAAAAAAATTTGTAAAATAAGATTAAAAAGAGCAAACTTTAAATGAAGCATAACATTAGACAGATGAATATCAATAGTAATTAAATAAAAGTGTACTTATACACACTGTTCAAAATTGTGATAAATAACTTACTTATATTTTAAATATATAAAAAAGGTTTGCATAAAATTTCAAATGTCACACGACTTATATAAGATGTTGTCCTGTACATACCTATACCTCTACTGACATGTGCCTCCAGAATGCTGTCAATCGAAGGAGGTGGGACACTTGGAAGGAGGCCTAGTCTCCTGGGGTCCTCAGGCCTCGGAACCCTACGCCTTGGCATACCCACATCAGCCTGGAGTCTTGTGCGCACAATTTCTGCTTGCAAATCAGGAATGTAACTGTAGTCTTTTGGCACCTTCAAAGCATATACAGTCCATCGACCAGTTTTCTTCTGGAATTGTTTGCGATAGCTGTAATAATTTTTTTTTTTTTTTAATAGACAAAATGAAAAAAAAAATATTTGGGTAAAACGACACATAGGAAGGATGATATATAAAGTTCCACTAAAAGTTCTGAGAGATGGAAAATAAAATGTTTAAATCTTACATCTTTTGCCCATTTTTGTTGAGCATTGGTGGACGATCCTTGTGGTGGTTATAATCAACAGCTGCAAGTAGAGTTCTTGCCTCGTAGACCGGTGGTGAGAAGCTGAACCGCTTGCTGACGTACATCAACAAATGGTTGTGGAATGATTCCAACTCACAAGTTGATCTGGAGAAACAAATTATCATATGTTAAAATTTTTAGTAGTATTCAATATATTGAACATGTAGTGATGACTACTGGTGGTGACTAATTCTATTTTGAAACAGACATGAAGGTGCTTCCAAAAGTTACCTGAAAGTTAGATATCGGTGGACATTTCTGAGCCAACTCTTTTTTAGAACTATTGCTTCAAGTGCCTTGTGAGCTTTGGAACCACTCTCCAGCCATTGCTTGTCTTGGATTTCAGGCAGGCTACCATGCAGGCAGTGGCCAAGGTACCATTCATGCTCATTTGTAACGTGGTGAAGCACACTGCTCCATAGTTTCTAAAATACAAATATTTTAATCAGACCATGTAGTCAAAGTGCATATTGTCGGTACTGTTATGTTTATTCTGTCCACAAATATAATATTATCCTAAAACAGAATCTCACTGCACATAGAAGTACATTGTACTTCTTGCATGCAAGTTTGTTACATGGATTTTTGCTACATTGAATCAATCAGATCATGCAGAGATGACTACTTGGAAATATATTACTTACAACGAACTGCTGTACCGTGTCTGCCTTTTTACAACAGAACCAGAAGTGATTCACGATGTCCTTGACCCAGTGCAGCAGGATCCTTTGTCCAGATTGCTGTGCCTCCTAAGTATGCATATTATAGATGTGGTTGAATAGATTTTGTAATATAAACATTATCATAACAAATATGCCAAATATATATATATTACATTATTTTATACAAAATAAAAAAGATATAAACATACAGCAGTAATCCTCTTGGCTAGATTCTTTGCTCCATGCCATATGTCCCATGAGTGCAGAACTCCAGTGTCCTTATATCGCCCAGTTATTGGATCTTGTAAAGAATAACATAAAACAAACATTTTTATTACAATTTTTTTATAAATCAATTATATAATTTAAATTTTATATAACATGGGAAGTACTCCCAACTTACTCATAACAGATGCGATTTGTGTGTGTGCATCTGTACATATTTCTGTGATCCGCACTTCACTAAGAAGCTTGTCCATTGTGGTTACAAAAGCCTCTTTCTCCATTCTTACAGAATTACGATTTGTCTGCCTTTTATCGATAGTGACAACCGAGATTATTTCCTTAGAATCATTCTCCATTGCTGTGTACGAGCAATACTGGGCACAGTATCCGGGGCTATCCATTCGTCCATCAGCTGTGTAGTGCAGAAAAAGTCAATAAATAATTTTTTTAAAAATATGTAAAAACAGACAATAAAATTGTAACATAACTAGTGAAATAAACAAGGTGAACAAATTATAGGATTTTAATCATTTAAAAAAAAAAGTTATGCATAACTCCTTACAGCACTTCGATTGACATTTAAGTATTGCCTAGTTTTTTTTTCACCATTGACATCAGACTCACCTAATACAACTACACCATCCTTACTCTTCATACGCTCAATTGCAGCACATCTGTTGTCCTCCCACATGTCCTTTATTGCTCCTAAGCAATAATTATCCTGGATTTTAAAAAAAGTGTTTTTTCCTACAAAGCCCATGTTCATGTAATTAAAGAGGTGTGCCACTTTGTAGTAGTTATTTCCAGAAAGCAGAACGTTGGTGGCCATCATGAAGTCCCCTGCCTGCATGCCAAATTTAAATATAGGCTGTGAATTCCAATTCCTAACGTTGTGGCCATTTGAACATATCTATAGGATAAAATACACAAGACAGATTGCAATGCATATAAATAGCGACTTTTCTTGTATTGAATAAAATGTAAATGGATTGCAATTCAAAAACTTTTAAAGTGTTCTTTTGAATTGGAAACTGTGTATTCAGTTAGACGTAATATAATATTACAACGCTGAAAATATAACTTGAAAATATATCTTGTTTTGCGTGACATGCACCTACAAAATATACAAAAAAACTGTTATGTTTTTAATACCCATTGGATGATACTTGCTGTTCCCCTTGAAGTCAGGTGGAATTCAAACGGCGGTGAAGCCTGGCAGGCTTTACAGTTAACCTCTGGTTGCTGCAGAAGCTTAACCAACTCTTTCAACTGTGTTTCATACACAATAGATGCCCGTTGTCCAATTATGTCCTCCTCGCACAATACTTTGTTGCTTGCAGTAGATTTAAGGACATGATCTTCAGGTAGGGTTATCACTTCATCTTCTTGTGCAAGATGAACGGTCTCTTCGAGATCAATCGCTTTAAGCTCATTGATTTTTCTAAAATCATTAGTTCCTTCACCCGTTCTGTAAACATATATTTTTAAAAATATTTCCAACATTGTATTAGTTACAATATGCAAAAAAAATATTGTCTTTTCAATACCTTGATTTTGTTAGCAAAAAAAAAAAAAATGTAATGTTCTTGGGTTGGCCTGGATGCCATAATCCTAGATAATTTAATAGTTACAGTAGGTCCATTAACTGATATTTTTTTGTTTTATATATATTTCAAACTAAAAAACATGCTTCATGCAGACAAACCTAAGACAGATAGAGGGAACATAGTCCTCATCAGAATTGCTTTCCTCACTGTCTATTTCCCACGATGTATCATCTTGGTGTTTAAATTCAATTCTGGAAAATACATATTTTCAGTTTAGTAATGGTTGAAGTAATACTAAAAACAATATCTAAATACAATATACCGAAAATTACACAAACGTGAGTAAGGAGCAAACTGCATTTTGTAATAATGCATGTTACCACTTACACTGTTTTCTGAAGATCATTGGCATCTTCACTCACAGTAATGGTGGACTCATCATGGAAGCTCATCTTTGAAAAACTTCACCATACCCCGGAAAAATAAAAATAATAACTGTAATTTGTAGCTTGTGGAGCCCAACTACTTGATAATATTATTATTTAAATTTTTTTTTTTTTAAATATCTTTGTATAGTAACACATGTAAAAGTCACCTTTCATGTAATAGCTGTTCATCACTTCCTGCTAAAGAAAGTTGTTCAACTCCAGGCTCAAGAAAACACTGGTCTCTGTAAAGCATATAGGCTATGATAAATTTATTCAATGTAATTCTATTAATAAACTATGATGAGTTATATAAAACAAATTTGCCAAAGCCTACCTAACTGATGGTGAGTCACTGGAAGAAGCTATGGTGGAGAGGGTTTGAATAGGCATTCCAGGTCTCTTGCAAGGAGTTGACGTGGCTGGTCCTCCTTTTTGGTAACTTTATAAAAAAAAAAAAAAAACATTTAATGTACATTTAACATATCTTTTCATGTCGTTAAAGTATTTAACCACAGCTACAGATTCACAAAATTAACGATACAGCCAAAAGTTCACAACTTCACATTCCGAGAAGTATTCGCGGTGAATATGACCTTACGATTTTTTAGATCATATACATAGACAACAAGACATTCTAACTATAATAATAATTGTTTTGCATCGTTTACTGACATGACATTTTAATACAGAACACGGTGTTACTCACCTGTCAAGTAAAACACATGCAAGATCGGCGTCTCTTTCTAGTCGGAGTTTTTCACGAACTTCTCTCCATTTAGTAAATGCCACACCGATGTTAATCCTGGTTCTATTTCTGTTCTTGTCCCAAATTCTTCTTGGGTCGTTTGGTTGACCCGTTCGTTTACGTTTGCGTTTATGAGATTCAGAACCAGGTTCAATCGCTAAATAATAATTGTGCTCCATTCCATAACCAATACGCGAAAAAAGCGGACGTTTGTTGCTTGTCTTGATAGACGCTAACGCACAACTACAACTACCGCATTTGTCCAGGACTACACAAGAGCGGAAACCGAGGTAAGCGGATATGACGCGATTGACTCGCGACTCCCAGCTCTCCCCTGCTGACACGTTCCGTGTCCTTGGTTAAAATCTCAATTTTCTCGCGATTAAAACATTGATTGAAACATTTGGAATATTGTGAGTTATCATCTTTACTAAATATATAACACTGGCCTTGTGATTTTGGGATATTTTAATGCAAAAATCTTAGGTATTGCACCTTTAACGTTACTGTCGTAAATACCACTCACGCAGAGGGTCTCTGCACTCATGGCCTTATACTCCTCTGAAGCGGTTATATCAAGGTACAAATCTTGCATAGTGAAAGATATAATAAAAGATAATGAATTTCAAACCTGAACCAAACTTTTTTTTTCAAAGTTCAAACAATCTGTCATTAGTCTTTAGTTTGCTACTAATAAATGGTGTGTTGTGGTTCCGAATGAATGAATTGCTTATAAATGTAGGCTATAAGTTTTCTAAATCGTATCTAAAATTTTATCGGACAATAACTACTCAAGATTTTGCTTTAGTACAATTTTCGGGACAATTGGGGACAGATTCAGGACAACAGCTTAGATTTCGGGACGTCTGGTCACCCTATGTGGTGGCGCGTGGGCAGTCTCCACTCGGACACGTTAGCAGTATATATAGACCACTTATATTGTTGATTGCAATCAGGACGTGAAGAGAGTTTCAACCAGTATAGCAAAAACTGTGCCTATAGCTTTAATAAATCAGCTATAAATGAAACTATATTCATGACATGGAACAGAAGAATACACAGAAAAGATGGAGAAAATAAGATGGATCTACAGTAGGAGGGCTGGTGTATATGACTTCTTGTTAGCGAGGGAAACACAAGGGGCCAGTCCTCACCACGGCACCAGTCGTCTGATTGTCAGGCGGAGCAGAGGGCGACTTTCGGCTGTCGATTGCATATAAAAACCGGCTCGGTTAGAGCTTTGGGGAAATGGCCTGCACACTCTTGAGAAAAGCAATGTTTTTCTCCTCTAACATGAGTTGTGTGATAGGAGCTCATCTTGTGATTGTCTGTCTGGTGACTAGGGCTGGGGTAAACGATTATTAACTAAACGATTAGTTGGGCGATTATTTTATCGATTAGTCGACTAATCTAATGACTAATTGGACGACTAATATAAAGAATATTTTTTCTGCTGCTCAATTAATAAAAAAAACAATATCTCAAATAAATACTGGCATACTGAATCAAGATACTATAAGCTGGCTAACGTTAGTCTAATGTTATGTATTTGAACACCATCATTGTAACTCTACAACCGCCAAAACTGTGTTATTAAAATATTTTTTACAAACATTTTTTATCATAGAGAATGTTTAAATATTAATATCAGCTGAGGAGGGAAATGGAGGCGGAGTTAGTGGTGCGATCGGAGGCTTCTACTACTGGAGATGAATCGGGAGAGGTTTGTGCACCTACTGATCAGAGCGCGTGCTGACACGGAGTAAAGCCTTGTTTGTACTCGACACATCCGCACGAGCGCGAATGTGCGCACTGCGCACGGCAAAAATGACGCGTTGGGTGCGCAAGACCAGGAAGACTCAAGACTGTGGCTGGCTGTGTGTACACCTTTTTTTTGTAACAGCGCGCCCGGCGCCGCATCCGGAAACGACTTCAAGCCGAATCTGCCCGAGCTTGTGTTTGCGCATCTAAATTGCAGTTTTTTTTTTTTCTTAAGGGTTTTTTTACTGTGTGTGATTCATTTAATGGATAGCACATTCACTTCTAGTTGTCTTCGTCTTCTATTCTGCAATGTTTCGGTCTCCCACGTGTGTGTGGCAAGCTGTACCGCCGGGAACATGCAAAAAAAAAATAAATAAATAAAGAAGCGTCGACGCAAAAATATGACGTCGACGCAATTTTGACGTCGAATCATCGACGTCATCGACGCGCCGCTACAGCACTACTGGTGACAATGCCTTAGAACCCTTGACGGGAAGTGTAAGGATTTAGGCATGTTGTGGTCCCGTCTGAGACCCAGAACCACTAATCTGTCCCTCACAGCACAACTTTAGAGAGGCGATATCACTGTCAGATCTCAAATGAGCAGTTGGGTTTAGTGGAGGAAACATCAACATTTTTAGACTGAATGATTTAAGCCTGTCATGGTGGTCGTCTTGAAATTAAACCAGCACAAATAGAGTGCCGAAGTGATGACGTCACTTTGTAGGACGACTCGGAAGCTAGCGGCGCATGGGTTCCTTCGATCGAAAAGCAATGCATTTTCCCCGTAGACTTTTGGAAAATCGCAAAAAATAAGATCTGTGTTTAACAAAGAGTTGTGACCCTTACACGTTTTGTCTAGCAAGATAATCTTTACAAGTTAATCCAAAATGTATACATTTTGAAGCCTATATAAAGATTTTAAAAAACACAATCAGACACAATAAAGTAAAAAAAAAAAAAAACACAAGCAGGTTATAACTGTGTGTTCTATATCATAGATCAAAACGTGAAAATATTTGGAGGCTTTGTTCACCACAGACCTTATTTCAGGCGATTTAGCAAAAACCCATTCAAAAATCGCATAGGCTTTAGAGCGAGGAAACCGGTAGAGCTAAAATGCTAACTCACTTCCGCGTTTTGGCCTACAGAGTGACGTCGTAACTTTGGCACTCTATAGAGAGTAAACAACTGTAGAACAGCCTGATCGTTTTAGAAGGAACATGTCATTCTCTGTTACTATTCTGCAAGTTCAAAATCATTAAAGCTGCATGAAAGGTCAGCATCAAAGGTCAGCATTACGGTAACCAAGCCAACTTGTGTTTCTGAATAAAGCAGCTCTTGCATATTAAAAGGTGCAAGGGTGTTC